GAAATCAAACGAAATAAAGGTTTCAACTCCCTCAGGCAAAGTGGATCTTAGTTTGATTTTTCTAAAAAATTAATGTCTTTTTGTTTGTCTGCCATATAGCTCTTTAACTGTTTTGGTTCTTATACATCATTTGCTTACAAATATTCGGACTTAGTCGTGATTTGTTATAAATAATGTGAAAATAAATGTTTAAGAAATACCCAATTTATTTGTTTATTCAATTTGATAAATAATAGATTCTGTGGATTTTTTATTAGGAATGTTAAGGGGACTTTTTTTTAAAGTGCTTATTATAAGCACAAGCTTTTTGATCAGGACATTTAAACACACGTTTTTAACAACTATGAACTCATGCAATCGACTGCTTTGCGGAGTCTTCTCAGATTTTTTTCAAATCATGCATAGTCATACGAACATTATCAAATATCTCAAATGCAAACTAATTTAGAAGTACTAGTGTAACTATTATAATTTGATCGGACTAGAAAAGGAAGCGTTGATGTGTATAACTCCGGAATTGTGATGTTAACTGGTAAGCCTTAAGAAGAGAGATAAGAGATGCGGCTAATGATATATCAAATTGTCGGTTGTATAAACACATATATAGACTTGAAGAATTTTACATATTGCATGAGTTTTAAAATTGTGGATAGTGGGACATTTCACAAACATGTGCCATCGAACTTACAATTTCAAACAAGTCAGACGTAAATAAATTTGGAAACCGACATCATTTCATGTCTGTTTTTTATCTTTAAATTTGGAATATTTTCAGCGAAAATTAAAATGTATAAAAACTAAGAATCTGAATTAATTTAGTCCTTTCCTTTCAATGAAATGATAGATACTACAACTAATAGAATGTTAGTCTTCGTAGGTTATATGTATATCATCCTGTTTGAATAACTCGCTGCAACTGACGTCATTATATATTTATATATTATAAGGACTACAAGGCCCTTTCTTGTTCAATTCGTCCTGAACATGCATTAAATATTAGCCACTGGACGTTAAGCAAGAAAAAATCAATCGATCAATCTTATTTAGCTAAATATATTCACGATTTTTCAATGGTAGCTTGTTTTTATATAGACGTTTTATTGGTACACACTCCGGTAAATATATTTTTCACCTGATTTAAACAAAACCAGCTGCTTAAAAATGTCCTTCTTCACTAATTTCCTTGTATCAATTGAGTAATATAATGAACGAACTTTGTTTCTAATATACTAATTTGACCGTTAGCTTTTCATCGTTTTAAATACGTTCACAATTGTTTCCCATCACAATACTCATTCCATGTTTATTTTCTTCAGTGAAAATGTATGCTTGCATTGTCGATAAAAAAGACTAATGACATTCTTACTCAAAATAGATAAAGAGTAAGGACTATTTCTCATATACTTGATTCACTCAAGGCATTAACATCAGAAAGTGGTAATAAACTACAGGACAGCTAAAATGTTACGGCCTTAATGATACACGTTCAAATTTTATTAGCAGTTCTACATATTTCCACATACTAGTATCAAAACAGTTTTGCTAAAAACAAGTTTAGATTTGAATTTTCCAAAATCCATAAAATTGCAATTTTGAAAAACAAAGATGTTATGTTAAGGCAAACATGATTTGTAGTTTGGTTATATCTTATGAAGTACATCATTAGGATGAATAAACCTCAATAGTGCATAAAAATGTACACACATAAAACCGTGGTACTGTACATTTAACAAAGACCTCAGTCAATACATACCCAATGACACTTGGGCTGATATCAAAACCTCGGCCTGATAATTAATATGAAAAATATCATGTAATGTTATTCTCTTATTGTCGAAGTATAATTGCACATACAGGTAAGATCAGAGAAGGAAGAGAAGGAAAACATACTCCGAAAAAAACCCAACATTTTCACTCAATATAAATACTTCAGTCTCTATTTTTATATTAATATTTCTTATCAATCGAAGTTCAACACTCTCATTTTGAATTATCATTGCTAAGATCAACGAACAAGGTAAGATTGTCAATAAATACAGATCACCGAACGGCCTTGAACAGTTTGCAACTTTATGACCGTGTATTAATCTGTAAAAGCACTTGATAGAAAAGGAAAGCAAACAACTACGAACAATTCATGTCTTAGCTGGACTGACTAGATAAAGACATATTATGTGATAGGGTTAAACCAGTTTCTTAAAACAAATCCAGTAAGAAGAGTTAATTCCGACCGAGTGAAGACCACCATATTCTTAAATTTGTAAGTTAAACATATTTTGTGAAAAAATTAGTTGGAATATTAAAAAAGGGTTAAAACGCAGTCAGGAATATGACAGTTGTTGTCCATTCGTTTGATGTGTTTGTGCTTTTGATTTTGCCATTTGATTAGGGACTTTCCGTTTTGAATTTTCCTCGGAGTTCAGTATTTTTGTGATTTAACTTTTTATTTGTGTTGGTGAAGAAATAACAGAAAATTTATGCTAACTCAACGAGGCAGCAAACAGAAGACAAAAGGTAATTAGACAAACATAATTAATATCAGCATCCGAGTTTTCCTTAAATAAATGTTCCTCTATTTCGTAGTCGTGTTGCAATATATGATCAGGTGTAATAAATGAAGTTAACAAGGATTGTTTGTTTGTTTGTTTGTTTGTATATTGTTGGGTCATTTTTTGCCTTATAAGTTTGAATGTCCCTGTGGTATCTTTCACCTCTGATCATCAACTCTCAGTATCTTATAATTCATAGAATGAATTATAAGATCAAACATTTCATGCACCAAAACAGAAACCAAATAGTGCACATAGAATTCTATAGCAAATAGTGAGGGCAACAAACAAACACTACTGTCGCAGGTTAGGAATAGGATTTTAGCACTCACAAACATGTTTAACCCCGTCATATTCTTTATGTGCATGTCCTAAGTCAGGAGTCTGTAGTTCAGTGGTTGTCGTTGGTTGCTGTCTGTCATATATGTTTCAAGTAAATTGTTTTGTAATAATAATATTACCGGTACCTATTTTATTGCACCTAATGCGCATTTCAACAATTAATGTCTCTTCAGTAAAAATATTTGAAAATCCAAAACTTAACATAAACGACGAAGAGCCGATCAACCAAAAGGACCTAAAGTACAGCCAAATACAGGCAAGGAATCAGAGCTTTGCATGAGGGAGGTGTATTCCTTAATTTAAAATGATTTCTAAATTTTCAAACAATACCTTTTAATCTATAAGTTATGCCGTTAGCTTTCTCAATTGAATTGTTTCATATATTTCATGTAGGGACCTTTTATAGTTGACTATGCGGTATGGGTTTTATTCATTGTTGATGGTCGTACGGTGATCTATAGTTGTTAAATTTTGTGTCAGTTTGGTCTCTCGTGGAGAGTTGTCTCATTGGCAATCCTACCATATCTCTCTATGTTTATACTGAAAGTAAAATGGTGGGCATCATGACTTTGTATTTACAGGTTATACAGATGGGTGCAGTTCTAACCTGTTCAGCTAGTTAACTTTATAAACAGACTTTATGACTGGTTAAAGTTAACTTAGGACCAGTTTTATGACTGCTGTGACCGGTCCTAGGACAGAATTTGTGTTAACTTAAAAAGCAGACTTGGTCCTAGGACTGTTTAATGATTGCCCGAAAAGTTTACTTCAGGACAGGTCCATGTCCAGAATTGAAGTTAACTTTGGACGAAGTTAACTTTGCCACAAGCAGTCCTACATGCAAGTTAACTTATGACCAGGTCTGCTATCAACAGTAAAACCAGACCTGTTCTTATAAAAGTTAACTTTGGTTTGGCCCATGATAAAGTTAACATGATCCAAAGTTAACTTTGTTCTGGTCTGTTCCTCTAAGATAAAGTTAACTTGGTCCCAAGTTAACTTTGATCTGGTCTGCTTTCAAGATAAAGTTAACATGATTCAAAGTTAACTTGTAAACATGACTGCTTTTATTGTTTGTATCAACGTGGTAAAGAATACCCATATGACCGATTAAAAAGCAGACCTGTCCCCATGACCGACAGGACTGCTCTGTTTAATACCAAACGTGTCCACAGGTCTGGTCTGGTCTGGTCCGGTCAGGCAGACCTGTTCACAGGTCTGGTTTGGTCGAGCAGACCTGTCCACAGGTCTGGTCTGGTCAAGCAGACCTGTCCACTGGTCTGGTCTGGTCATGCAGACCTGTCCACAGGTCTGGTCTGGTCATGCAGACCTGTCCACAGGTCTGGTCTGGTCAAGCAGACCTGTGCACAGGTCTGGTCTGGTCAAGCAGACCTGTCTACAGGTCTGGTCTGGTCTAGTCAAGCAGACCTGTCCACAGGTCTGGTCTGGTCGAGCTGACCTGTCCTGGGAACAGGTCTGCTCTAGCAAACGTGTCCTTAGGTCTGGTCTGCAGCAGTCATAAAAAGGCAGACATGAGGTCTGGTCTGCTAGGGATAACGTTAACTTACAGGTCTGCTAAAATTTTGCCAAGTTAACCTATAGAGCAGTCGTAAGGACTGCTTTAAGTTAGCTTGTGTACAGGTTAGGACCTCACCCATCTGTATGCTTTTAATATTGATTTCTCTTATAAATATTATTGTTTGGTGTGTTTACAATCTTTTTAATGAACGACGTATTGAACTGTTTTTATATAACTCAGTTTTGTCATATCATTGTTTAATATTTTTGCCAAATACAATTTGGAGAACATTCCTTTTTTATCTGAGATCTTTGATAGTTAAATTTCATTAATTTAGAGCAAAATAAATTTTGTTATAACATTTGCTGAATGTTGACTTCTATAATGTCTATTGGATTCTTGATTTTTGTTTTTTGTTTTGTTTAAAGTTTTTGTTGTTTTGTTTGGGTTTTTTTAAGGAGGGAGTGGGGTTAACTCTCTCTTTGGCATTAGTTCCTCGTCTCCTGGCCTTTTATTTTCTATCAAAAGAACAATGCAATAAATTACTACACGCAAATGATGCTAAGATATATCTACCTTTATTAAAATTAAACAAACTAACCTTATTTTGAACAGATAACACAGTATACTTCCAAACTATTGTGGTACGGTGGGCAAGGAAGGGAACCACACTTCATGCTTGTTGGATACAACAAATTATTATCATTTTTTCTCTCTCTGCCTGCAATGAACTCAGGATTTATATCCACACAAATATACGACGAAGCTTTGCAACTAAAACAACTAGAAGCTAAAATACCAAAGTACTCCCTCTTCCTTCCAGAATAAAATGATTTTCTTCTAAGAAAACCTGGTGCAAATTTGTGTCCTTCGAACTCCGAAACAAATAAACGACAACTTAATCATTCTGTCCGGTTGCTTAGTTCTGGATCCATTGAAAGACATAACATATTTGAAGGTCCGCCTAATTGATTGGTGGCGTAGTAGTATTCCTGACCAGCAGCATAACCTTTATGGGTTTAAGAAATATATAATTACCATTACTTGTACATACAAGAGTCAGTCACGATTGAAACAGATAATTATATTATTATTTTTTCCATCGTATAAACTGCGAAAAGAGAAATTTTTACAAGCATGTTACATTAAACGCGTTTTCTTCATAAACACGGGAGCGTGAAAACATATAACTGTTCCTTAAATTTTTTAATGTGACTGTCTTTAGGACAGCGCTTTTGAATTTAAGATGAAAAACGGAGTATCTCATAATTCATATTATTTGACATATTCTCTTTGAGATATTTTCTTCAATTCATTTTAACATAATTTAAAACATTGCTTAACTGTTGCATACCAGAATAGACAAGCTCTGTTTGTAACGGGCACTGACTCCTACCCCAACGAACGAATGTTGATCCATGTCCTGAAAATAGTTTGAGGTTCTTAATTTTTTTAAAATACAACATGTACAAGTATGCCGTTAAGAAAAGTTCCATTTAGCCTAAAAAGTCACAATTGGTCTTCTATTGAAAAAACGTCTATAATAGTCTTGTTAGTTGATGTTGAATTTTGCCAGTTCAGAATTGAATGTAACAAACAAATAATAAGTTCATTGTCAAAACATGTTATCCATGCGCATTAAGAAAGCATTACTGTAGTGAATACAACATATACATGCGGATTTTATGATACATTAAAAAAGTAAGACATGACCGTTTATACAAACTGAAACGTCGAAAAAATTACTGCAAGTTAACATTCACATATGAGCTAAACAAGGAACACTCCAATATCCAATAAATGATTTTCATGATATTTCGTCTGTGTCATTACCTATGTCCATGTTGCAGGTACAAATGTACCTACATTTTGACAAAAGTACACATGCAAGAAAGACTCTTCTCCTTGCAAACGCTTGCTGCCTGTTATGGGTTTCCTCCTTACACGAAAATATTTATCACCATGAGTAATGTCGAAGCATTGATAATTACCAAGATTACAACAACAGATTAATAGACATTTTCGAAAACTTTCCGATTCTGACGCCATTCATGGACTCATGGCCATGTACTTAATAAGAAACCCAATTTTCTCTCTTAAACTGGGTCTACATGTCGTAATCTCATGGTTTACGGATACAAACACACGAAAGGCGGATTCATTGATGGAAACAATTAGACAAACATTGTAAGGGGTTCCGCGGAACCATGTGTCTCACCTTCGATTGCTGCTGTCAGTGAAAAAGTGTATGTTGACTTAAAAAGTGAATCCATTTATTAGTAAAATACAGAATTTAAAAAAAAATCAAAAAAAATCTTTAGACGCTATTTCTTGGTCTAGAGATTAGATTCGGTGCAAGTTTCATAACAATCCATGAAGGATTACAAACTAATCATGTAAAAAATAATTTCATCCCGGACTGTCTGTAAATGTTTACTGTAAACAACTAATAAGTCCATCTAATCAGAAAAGTACTGAAAATGAAAATATATTTTCAAAACTTTGCATCAGACCTTATCACTTAATCATTAAAAAGCTTGTGCTTAAGTTTCATAAACTTCTATGAAGGTTTGACAAAATATCTGAAATATAACAAGCTTGAACCCCAGACTGTTTCTACTTGTTAACTGAATTTATAAACTAAGTCCATTTATCAGTAAAATACGGAAAAATTAAAATAGATATTTTTAAAATTTTGCTGTGAATACTGTATTTTGGTCACTAACTAGCTTCTGTCCAAATTTCATAAAATTCCACGAAGGTTTGACAAAGATATGGATGACTGAAAAACTTTAACCTCAGACTGAACGTAAATGTTGACGCTCATAGGATCGCTTCGTCTCGCTTTCGCGAAATAAATTTCGCAGGCTCGACAAAAATGATAGAATGTTATGTAACTAGGTTGTTTTTGTCGTATATTAGAATAAACACCTCTGGATCAATGGATATGTTTTATTGTGAAGTAATATGTATATGACCCCGCAATACAAGTACAAGTAATCAGTACAATGAAAGATAACTCTATTCATTTCAGATGGCAATATCCAAAATACAGTACTTAAATATTTCCTACAAGTTACAAGAGCGCAATTATTCGCAATGCATTTACTATAGGGTACCAGTGGTGTTCCCTATTTTATTTCTCGAAGACTACACAAACTAGGGAAAAACGGGTAGCAGCTCCTGTTACTAGAAATGCCAGTGTTCCATAACAACAAAACAATTATATATGGTCATGCGGAAAAAATTGACTTAAAATGCAGTTGAAAAAGATCGTTTATTTTTTTCGCTTAATGAAAAAGGCATATTTTTAATGGCTCCGTCGTGCAGAAATGGAAGATATTTTCTATACTTTGTAAAATGTGAATTTGATTTTCTGGATTTTTTAAACTTAATTGGATAAACTTTCGATTAAAAGTAATTCCAATCCTGTATCATCCAATTAGAAGCCGTACAGGATTCTATTCTGAGTACCATTTTGGGGTCAAAAAACTTGCCGGTAAAATGTAAACAAATAATTGCGCTCTTGTAACCTATAAGACAACTATGGTTTTCCATTTTATTGACTTATAAATCTATAAACAGAGAATGTTAAACATGAAAAACATTGTTCTCATCATGCATTACGCATCTTAAAATTTAACATATCGAATTCTACAAAATATTCCTCTGTTAGTCATTTACAGGTCATTCCATTAAAATTAATACCAACATTATATAAGTAGACATAAAGCAAAGCGTACAGTAACATAACACAATAAGCTTGTTAAAACATTTATATTATAGCCATGATTAAGACACATGTTAAGCACAAAACACACATATAAACAGAATACAAAATTGTTCATGTATGAAGTACAAAGGTCCTGTATATACTAAAGTAAGGAAACTTTTACATCATATTCGAACAGATTGGTTCAAATACCTGTAATTCAATATCAACAAAACTATTTGTCTTTATAGTCTAAGTATTGAATTATCTAATCATTTAATAGTGTAGAAATTGCTATTTTATCTATATACTTCTTTTCACTCAAACTGATTTATTCATATAAATTTACTGTTTACAGCTTAAATACTTACAAAATAATTTTATTGATTCCGTCTAGTTTATCTATTTAAATGACATTTAATATACTTTTATATGTTTTAATCTATTTTATACATCTTTTACTCTAAAAATCATTCATTCTGGCCATTCATACAAATCATCTATACAATCCATTCATTTTCTCCTTGATAATATTTATGTACGTTTTGGCAATCAAGTTAATCGACAGTTTGTATGTATTCCTATGGGCACCTAATGCTCTCCTTTAATAGCAGACTTATTCTTGTACTGTTATGAATCACAGTTAATGGCCAAACTCAGTAAAAACCAGTCTAAACTGCATTTAGTTGATAAATTCAACAACACTTATCGTTATCTTGATGATATGTTTTCGTTAAATAAACAAGAGTTTTCTAAATATACTGCCGAAATTTACCCGAAGGAAAGTATTTGAAATCAATCAAATAAATCTGTCCTTTCCAAGATTTAGATATTTCAGTTGTACACGGGAAACTCTACACTAAAATCTACAACAAAAAGGACGATTTTTCGTTCCGTATGGTTAATTTTCCTTTTTGGTACGACGATTTTCCTTTGGCACCATCTTACGGTGTTTATATATCACAAATCGTTCGCTATGCCTGTGTTTGTTGTAATCTTTTTGATTTCAATGAACGTAATCTATGCATTTTTTTTATAATGAATTTGCTTTATTGTATCAAATAGACTAGCACAACATGTATGAACAAAGGTATACAGAATGGCATATTCACAGCAAGGAAGTTTTAAATAAAAACAACAATTGACTATATAATGGTGCAACATTAGGTTAAACATGAATAATTATCTAATAATTAATTCGTTCTTGGAATATCTATTTGTTCTGTTTAAAACAAAATTGATAAACCAAAATCCGACATTTATTAATTAGTTTCCAATAGTGACCCAGAGGCTCCAGTATTTGTTATATTCCTCTTCAGGGAGTTTTTTAGTTTTTAAGTTCATGTGTTCCTTTAAATAACTTTTTAAAGCATTTAAGTTTGGCAATAATTCTTGAAATTTTGTTCTATAATGTATGTTTTATTGGTTATTTATTGAGTCAGGGATTTCGTTACCACAAATTACTTAAAACCTTTACTAAATTATTCCATAGATATAAAATTTTGGTTTTGAAGTTTGGTTGTACCTGTAGAAAACTTATTGCAAACGGGATAAAATGTAAAATCACAAAAATACCGAGCTCCGAGGAAAATTCAAAACGGAAAGTCCCTAAGACCTAATGGTGGATTAAACCTGGTTTTATAGCTACTAGTAGCTAAACCTCTCACGTTGATGACAGTCGCATAAAATTCCATTATATTGACAACGATGTGTGAACAAAACAAACAGACATAATAGGTAAAAATGTCAAAAATATGGGAACTGCAGTCAACATTGTGTTATAATCCTAATCACTATAAAAACAAGCAAATATGTCAACAAAGATAAACAAAAAGGCATATAGACAAAGCACATTAGCAAAAACGAAAGACAAGAATACAAAATTACCATAGCACAATAACACAATGACGGGATGCACAAGTACCGAGCCACGTCAAATGGGTATCGCCAAAAATAGACTAAAAAGTAAAAGTAATAATTTACAAAGACAAATAAAAGAATACTATAACACGTTATTAACGTCAGTACCTAGAATCTATACTGCAAGACCATCGTGTATAATTTGCTAAGTTGATACGGAATATTTATTAACAAGGTCTTGGTATCTTCCGACAAACGTTTTTCAGAAGAAGGACGAGACGTTCTTTGACATACCCCTGGTTCATCCACTTTCTGCTCAGACACACACATCCTTATGTTTACGAAGATGTTGTTTACCGAGCCCGCAAATTTGGAAACGATCCGAATAAACTTATCAATCGCGTAAACAAACTTATTCTAAAAGGTTACCAATTCAACACTGTAATTAAATCTTTGAATATTGTTTTTATTGGTATCAATATTGATTTTGTTATCAGTAAATTAAAATCAAACGAAAGATTATTTTTATATACATATGCACATTTATGGCTCTACTGTTCGTTGTATTTCCTCGTAAAGAGGTTGCCCAACTTTTGTACAACCAAGCGATCCTTTCTGGACTAGGACTACGCAACTTTTATTTTTGTTGAAGCATGTTTGTCATGAAATATGTTTTTCAGCAGGATGTTGGACTGGACACGATCATGGTGAAAGGGTGTTTAAACACAAAAGCTTCCTGCTGCTGATGTTTCTGGTCTCAATATTGGTGGTATATTTGCTCATTGGAAAAATGCTTACTTCTCATATATCTTTGAATATCGTGCGACCACACATACACGCTACGACAAAGATTGCAATTATACATATACATATTTTCTCTAATTATTTTTTTTTCGAATTTTTCTCTCTTCTTTATTTCTTTGCCCATTATTTGCTATTCTGTAAACCCCATCCACACCCTTCTATATAAATTTAGATCGATCAAATACATTTCCCGTGCATTTTTTGAGATAAAAATCAATTACGACTGCGGACTTGTCAAATATATATGTTAGATGAGCAACACGACTAGTTTTATGCCCTTGAATATCAAAATAAATCCGAACATAAACTTGGTATAAAGTGTGTATAGTGACAGCACCAACTGCATGTGGATACACATATTATTAACAATCCCTATTGATATGGTCCTTGACCTCATTTTCATGGTTCAGTGACTACTTGAAAAAAAAGTTAAGATTTTTAGTATTCTTAATTTCTATCTTATTATGAGTAATAGGATAACTATATTTGGTTTGTACGTACCTTGCAAGGTCTTCATACCCGTCAGACATTTTGCACTTGACCTCGACCTCATTTCATGGATCAGTGAACAAGGTTAAGTTTTCCTGGTTAGTCCATATTTTAGATACTATAAGCAATAGGTCTACTATATTTGTTGTATGGAATTATTGTAAGGTGTACATGTCCAATTGGCAGGTGTTATTTGACCTTGACCTCATTTCTATGGTTCAGTGATTAAAGTTAAGTTTTTTTTGTTTTGTTCTGTTTTTCTAATACTGAATGCCATAGGTCAACTATATTTGGTGTATGAAAATATTTTAAGATGTACATGTCAATCTGGCATGTTTTATTAGACCTTGACCTCATTTTTACGGTTTATTGCTCAAAGATAAGTTTTTGTTTTTTGGTCTGTTTTTTTTCTAATACTATAAGCAATAAGGTAACTATGTTTGGTGTATGGAAAGATTGTAAGGTGTATATACATGATATATCTGTCTGGCAATTATCATCTGACCATGACCTCATTTTCATAATTCACTGGTCAATCTTAAGTTTCCCTTGGTTAAGTTTGTTTCTTAGATACTATATGCAATATGTCAACTATGTTAAAAGCATGCAATGATTGTATGGTGTACATGTCTGTCTAGCAGGGTTCATCTGACCTAGGCCTAATTTTCATTGTTCATTGAGCAATGTTAAGTTTTCTCGGTTAAGTTTGTTTCTTAGATGTGCAATAGGTCAACTATATTTAAAGCATATTTGGTGTATGGAATGATTGTAAGGTGTACATGTATTTCGAGTTTGGTTTATCTGACCTTGACCTCATTTTCTTGGATCGTGTTAATTTATGTGATAGTTGTTTTAAAGCTTCATTTTTACTATCAACATAATATCAATGGTTAGTAAAGAAGGCGAGACATTTCAGCGTGTTCACTCGTGTTATTATTATTGATAGGTATATTTATTTTGATTATAAACATGTGTTTTACTGAAATAGAGACTTTTATCAGTAGAGTGCTATGAGTGTCATCATCCCAACTATTCGAAGTAACCTATTCAGTTGTTTACTTTTTTTCTCCGTTGTTTATTTAGTTTTGTGAACACTTAAATGAATTCCAAAATCAATTTAGGAAACAAAATAATGTATGAAAATAGGCGACATGTTATTCCGGAATAAGTATTTATTTTATCATATTCATTTAGATTTTATTTCAATACATGTCGTTTTGCAAAATATTTATTTTTTTTTTTTATTTTTATTGTCCATTCATTTATCAAATGTATTCCCTTTATAGAAACTAAATGGCGTTGAAGAAAAATCTGACCCAAAAACAGATGATGAAATTGATGATGAACGACTGCAAATAAATGCTGAAATCACATTAGAGATAACTAGTTGTTATTGTTGGCATTTGTTTTGTATAGACCAATGGAAGTAGGTTCTTGATATTGAAGACTTGATCACTTTGACTACATGTTAAGATAGTCGGTAACATAAATTGGTTAAACAATGCTAGTGACCTAATACGATATATATGGGGTCATTAAATTCGTGGGTAACAAGTAATACGAGGAACACGATGACACTGTTAAAAAAGTGCCAGATGGAAACCCTTTGACAAATATCCGTGATATTTATGCATATCATGGAATTCTAAATGAGGTTGAAGTTGGTCTTCATAGCGATATCAAAATGAATACTAACCTAAGAGGTTCTTTAAAAAACATCCAAAATATCTGAAACAAATATCGAGCTGGAAACAATTTAGGAAAAGAACAACGATATCAAGATAACAATGTATAAGAGAAGTATTTGTGCATAGTTAGAAACATAAGGTTATCTTCCATATGCGAGAAAAAAATTCTCAAAACATTAGCTTAACTCCAAATGGCTAGACGGATATCGATGATATTTTGCATAGTTGTAGAACTGTATCTGCACAGCATGATGATGGGCATGAAGGGATTTAAACTTAAGTTATAATAAAAATACTAAACTCCGAAGCAAATTTAAAAAGTCCCATAAAAACTGACAAAATCAAACGGTATCAATCAACGGAACAAATTGAAAACAACTGCCTTATTCCAAACTGTGTATAGCCATTCTCCTAAGAAAATTGTGGGTACAATAGTTTCGGTCCAACTTGTGTAATGGAATATTGATTGATTGATTGATTGATTGCTTGATTTTTTGTTTTTAACGCCATTTCAGTACTGACGGCTATATCGTGGCGGTCAGTTTTTATTTTTGGAGGAACCATGTGGCCCATAGAGAACCAGTGACCTTAGACAGGAAAACGGATAATCTTATAATTAGTTATCTAAAAAATCTAAGTTAACTAAGATTGGAGTCGAACGCACTATTGATACAGTAGATGTACTAACAGAGACTTGCAATAACTGTTGAACTCCGAGTAGGAATAAGACTCAAAAAGATTCTGTCGATAATTAATATAACCGTGTTCAATTTCTTTAATGAAAATTTCCATTAATTAGGATTTCAGAAACTTATCTGAACGGATTTTTGCCCAATGGTTAGATTTAATCAGAGGACGGGGAGACATTACAATGTTGTTTTGTTTTGTTTTTTTGGTTTTTTTTTTGTTTGTTTTTGTTTGTTTTTTTTTTATATTGTATCTCATACTACGCCAATGTTATCTCACCTCTACCATACTATGTATTATTTGTATATTGTTTTTGCATGTCATTCTCTGTGACTTTGATTGTATTGATTTTTAGAGAATAAAGTATTGTATTGTATTGTATAATGATAATAACTCGTTGTCTAGTAGTATCTGCATGAAAAAAAGGGTTTGCAAACAAATTAAGTTTCAATTTGAAGCGTTGTGGTCTAGTGCATATCTGGAACATATATTAAATTCCAAATGCACATTAATCCCAGATCTCAATTTCATAATCAACATTTTAATAAACGTATACAAATAAGAATAATATTTTCTTTATTTACATTTATAGATACTGTCAAATTACATTAAAAGGCAACCTAACTTTTTTACTGCCTCATTTTGATATGGATATCTGAGTGTCAATATTTATATTTGAAACGTCATCAGATATCAATTCATCTTATATATGTTTATCCCGTCTAGTTGATAAGAATCAAATAATATTCTTCTTTTTGATGTTGTCTATTTAAAAAAAAAAGATCACAGAACCATCGACGAAAGTGAAAGTTAAAACGTAACACTTTGTTAAATATAGAAGCGTTTAAACGAATGTAAAGTACACACTTCAAAACAAATAGCTTGCTAAAGTTGTAAAGTTGATAAAAGAACTCATTATAGTGACATATGAAGCCGTTTGACAACTCAATTTTATTAATCCATACAAGTTATACGTATTAGTAACATGGATATTAATTGTCGATAGCTATAAAATACTTGCACTTTTTCACAATCAGTTGATTATTGATTTTCTGTCAAAAATCAATCCATATGACGAGTTCAAGGTTAGAACGTTGTTGTTTTACTTGATAAAAAAAACTGTCCGACATACTCGAATAAATAAGCTAGATGGACGAACCTTTATACTTCTTTCGCAATACATTTTCGCCAAAAACAATTTTTTCGCCATAATATAATATAATACAAAGCTGAACCGATACCTACTGGTTTTTACTTATTGTCGCTGGCGAGACAAAAACAACGAAACGTTTTTCTGGTTAAACTATTGTTGCCTTAATTTGTTATAGAAATCATGTTGATGAATGAATGTCAGATTTGTATAATATTAGTAATCTGATGTGACACTCAAAGGAGAAAAGGGAAGAACACTTAAATAATTAAATTAGTTTTTTTTTTCTTTTTTTAAAATATTACTTATATATCAATGTTAATGAAAAACTTCAACTTATAACATGAGTTCATTTCGCATCAACAATAATCCGATATATACTAAAGACTTCATCTGTGACAATATCAGTCCGATCAGATAAACAGACTGATACGTTAGTAGAAAATATTTAAAACCCTTACTGATCGGTGTCTGATCGAAGACTGACCATTGCATCATCGTTAACGGCTGACTTATCGTTAAGTCAGTAGAGATAACTATACAAGTACTGTATATACTAAAACAAAACTTACAAACAGCAGTTATTTCAATAAATTTGAATTTAGAGCAAATATTAAAGAAGAGAAAACCTTTACAGAGATTAAAAAAACTAATTTTGTTTGGTATCGGACACAGTTATTTCAATCACCGTAATGTTTATAGACACAGTCCATCCCTCTCTGAATTTTGTTCAGTGCTTCAACAAGTGAACGCAAAGAAACATCTTTACGTAAAACCCACCGCTTTAAAATTTCTCGTGTTTCATCGCGCAAGTTACGACCTGATTCCAAACGTATGCGGTGAATTTCTGCAATATCAAAATCAAGCTCAATTGCTAATTGGAAGGATTTAATGCCGATACAAGTGCCCAATTCTTCCAAAAATAATGGTTTCGGAATGCTATTAAGAGGCAGTTTAGCAATACCTGAAATAGTAAATACAAAAAAAAATTGATAAGATAAAATAGAACAGAATTTTTGAAACTGTCACATTGTCAAAACCAAAAAGAATAAAATAACAAAAAAACTCAAAGGGAAATTCAAAACGAAAAGTCCTTTATCAAATGATGAAATTAAAAGCTCAAACCCACCAAACGAATAGAAAACAACTGTCATATTCCTGACTTGATACAGGCGTTCCCTTATGTAGAAAATGTTAGATAAATCCTGGTGTTATTGTTAGCAAAACCTCTCACTTGTTTGACAGTCGCATTGAATTCACACATTTTTGGAGTGTTTATAAATTCCTTTCGAGGTCCAATTTTACATTTATTGCACATATTTTGACATGTTTGATAAAGTGTATGTGATTAAGTAATTTTATTCTTTCGCTACGAGTGTGTATATTTAAATTTTGCGAACTTTGAATTATGCGAACTTATTTTAAACGGGATATCACATCCCGATTTTACGGAGATGTTGTTGCTAATCATGCCCGGAAATTAAGATACGATCCAGGTAAACATTTTAATTAGATCATTGAATATTGTGTTTATTGGTATTCCTATTGATTTTATCATCAGTAAATTAAAACAAAACTAAATATTATTGTTATAGACATATGCGCATTCGATGTTCTGCAATCTGTCAATATCTGTATTAGGGCATTGCAAATGTACTAGGTTAAGTTTTTCTCTGACTGTTAATGAAGTCTTTACACTAATTTTATTTGATGTGTTCTGGTTGATATATTTAAGTCTTAGATACACATTTTTTTCATTAGTTGCTATTGGTTTGGAACTTGCTTCTAGTAACTGCAAGTACTCTCAGAATTGTATTTTGTTTTTGTTGTGGCGATGGATAAATTCCCTGCCACGTCCGGTGTGTTTTTTTGTTCGTTTTGTTTTTTGTTTTATATCGACCTGATGAGTTAAATCCTTTTCAACTGATTTTTTTTATACTTTGTTATTATGTTGTTCGGTAACACAACTGTCCCATGTTAGGGGAGGGTTGGGCGTCAGCAAACATGTTTTACCCCGCCACATTCTGGATGCGCCTGTCCTAAGTCAGGAGCATGTAATTTGGTGGTTATTGTTTGTTGCTGTATATCATATTTGTTTTTCATTCATTGTTTCTACATAAATCGGACCGTTAGTATTCTCGTTTAAATTGTTTTGCATTTGTCATTTCGGTGACTTTTATAGCTGATTATGCGTTATGGGCTTTGATCATTTTGTGAAATCCGCACGGTGACCTATGGTTGTTAACTTCTATTTCATTTGATCTCTGGTTGAGAGTTGTCTCATTGGCAATCATATCAAATCTTCTTATTATACATTTATTAACAATTAAAAAAATGCTATCACAATAAATGCTCAAGGTTAGTTAAAGAAAACAGATCAGAAATCGACACCTCGACGGTTTTTCGGTAGTAATCATATATCGATAGATCGTTTCATTGTCACTAGATGAATTTCCAAAACTTGTTTCATCCTGTTTCTGTGTCCGTTGTAATTTTGTTTACAAACATCTGTGATGTCATTTTAATTGGAGATAACTTGTGAACAAACCAAGAAGCTCAAACAGTTATTACTCGGTTAATCACAGAGTTATGCATCGCTTGATGTAAGATTTTAAGGTAATTCGTCCCTCCTTTCATTTAAATGAAAATTAAATGCATTATTCTATGTCACGTGATAATGTGTTACCCAAATGAATTGTTTATCATATCTAAACTACGTAAATATCGAGGTCAAATTTGTTAGCAGGCATGACGAAAAACCAATGAATCAAAGAATTCAACTTTATATATAACTAATATAGCTAGGACAATGGTGTTGATTAACACATTACACAATCCCAGGCCCTTTTGTTTTCACATAATTAATATTACCAATTATTAACAAGTTATGGGTAGAATCCGATATCAATAGTATATATCACATGTAGTTTCTGGTTGTAGTAAGAAAACCAGGACGGTTCAAACAGAAAACAATTGAAAGCATAGAAAACTGTGCACCTTATAAACAGCATGATTTTATCAGATAACAATACGAATACTATGGGTACATTCCAAATCATTAGCCGGCATCACGTACAAATGACACATCAAAACATTCTACTTTATATATTTCTTATAGTACAAAATGGTGTTGATTTAAAATAACACCATTCCAGGCCCTTTAGTTTTCCATATAATTAATATTACCAATAATTTACAAGTTCCAGGTCAAAACCGATACCGATACCAATAGTATATGTCACATGTAGTCTCCGGTTGTAGTTAGAAACCAGGACGGGTTCAAATATAACGATTTTGAAAGCAGAGAAAACTGTGTACCTTATAATCTGCATGACTTTATCAGATGACAATACGAATACTAAATATCCAGGCTAAAAATAAGACGTAGGTACCCGATGTCACGGGTGTGTTCTGCTATATATGTATAATAATACAAATTTAAACTACTGTCCCTATTATTATTCAAGGTTCTTTAAATATTGTATTCATTTGAAAAACAATCATGCATGCTTTACTGCAGGTAATTAATGTTATTTGTAACGTAAAGTGTATTGCCATGGCATACATTCAGTATAAGCCTATTTTATAATTTAAAAACATTTGATTGTTAGGGTTTACGGCTAAGTCCAAGGTATGATACTAATTATATATATTAAGTCTTATTTCTTTATTTGAACTGTTTTATGTTTTATAACAAATACATACATATACGTTCTAGCAGGCGTAAGATGTTTGTGACAGTGTTACTATTATGTTTTAACTAAGCACTTTACACAGCAGAGACTCGAAATAATTGCATTCTATACAAAATATATCCACTGTGAAAATAAGATTCGTACATTAAAATGCATTTGATCATCCGAAAACACATAAATTTTTTTCATAGACTCATTAAATGACCAGGTATGTAAAGGGATATCATTTCGTATGCTGCCTTTACATGAGATACTTTTGCAAGCACTTATTGCTCGGTATTTAGTTTTCTCTGTTGGATTTGTATAATGTCGTTTTGCGGTTGTTTTTTTTTTGCCATGTACACGGCGTCGTCAGATGGTAATCGACTTTGTATTTTTGACATCTCTTTTATTACTGGAAAATACACAATCCACGTATCAAGTTAAAGGAGATGATCTGATTTTTAAAATGTATGTCATTCCGTTTCGCTTGGAAATCTTTGATTCAAAACTTATATATGTCATAATGTTTCCACATTGTAAATAAAAACAAATATTTTTGTGTTATCTCATTAAAACCAGTAAAACATACTGTGATTGAATATTTGACTTGTATCATACCTTTTGGAAATTCTTCTTTTGTGAAAACCTGTAAAACAATCAACCTACTACATTTGTACCTGACAGATGTTGAAAAAACCTAGATAAATGGTCACTTCATTCATTGTGTTATTGCCATTTCACGAAGTCATATAAAAGTTTAAATTTCTCAATTTCATATCAGTCCATATCATTATACCACTTTCATAATATCATTTATTTATTAGTTATCGGTTATAAACAAAACTCTAATAGGTTACGGAATACCTGAATCTGTGTACCACAAATTTCAAGTGACCACGGTTTAGTTCTTCTCTTGAATAATGACTGTGAGATTCACTGGACGTGGACAACGCGAATTGTGCTATTAAAGGAGGAGTGACTGCTTTTTCGCCTGATATTACTCAGTTAAATTTACTATTTATAGTTCTGTGTGATAATTGCGACGTTGTTTATTTATTTTTACCAAATTGTTTATTGAATGTCAACATTGCTATCTTTTTTTACGTTAAATATCATATGTAATATACAATAACCATGATAACATTTTCCAAATTAATATGAATCCTCTTACCTGATATATTTTCTGGTCATCTTCACCTATATCTTTCATTGCCCCTAACAAATCCTGAAAAGAACTACAATTGGTATTCTCCTTCCATTTCCATAACATCATGAATTTGTAATCATCCAGGTGATATTTGTATTCATCCCAAATAGACTTTAACGTATCTTTGGAAACCTCAAGCTGTATTACTAATTCTTTACAGCTATCAATGCTTAGCATGCGGCTCAAATGGGCAAGCTGCTTATTTGTAGGACACTGTTGCAAGTCTATGGTTTTTTGTACTGACAAAACAAAACATTATCATGTATATCATGGAGCACGCAACTGGATATACAAACTATTGATACGTGTGTTTCTTGTATTTATTCAATTATCTGATAACATAAAAAAAACATGTTTCGGTCTAAAGTTCAAATGTAGATTATTTAATAGAGAGGCGAAAGCAGCAAAAGGAATAATCAAATTTATACAGCGAAAACGAACTGACACAGAAAACCGAAGGCAAAAAGACAAAAAGCAGAATACAAAACACATAAAACATTAAAGACTGAGCAACACGTACCCCCCAAAAAATCGGGGTAATCACATGTGTCACGAATTGGAAAGAAAATCTGCTCCTCATGTGGCACCTATCATGTTGCGTCAGTAAGTACACGCCCAGTTATAAGTCTAATTCGATATGTCACATTCGAGGAAACAAGAACGAAACTGTGGTTACTTCATTTAGAACATATTTGTCGTTATCTTTAAACAGATATTACATAATGGCCAACCAACTGGTGATGGCGTCCGTAAATTTTCGAAGGGATGATTTCAATTTCACCACTTGGAACTCTAGATATAAAAGCTTCTTTGTAATTTGCAACACTCTATCAAGGAAATCGTTATAGGAAATGTAAACTCTGGAATATTGTATCAACGAGGATATATATATATATATATATAAACAAGTCTAAATTGAAAACAACGTTCAAACCTATGATTGCGTTGGATAAAAACCGCAATTTTTATACGTGTGCATGCAAAACTAATTTTTTGTTAGAGGGGTCTAAATACAGCACAAACAACATTTTCCAAAAGACCAAAAAAGTGAAAAGGTATATTTAAACAAAACGCATTTGACTAGCAGGTCGAACAACTGATGTTCTTAAACCCTGCTGACTGCCATTGGCGATTGCCAAATAAACGGATCACCAGATGTAACAAAATGGATCTTATAATAATTTATTATCAAACAGAAAACAATAAACTTGCGGAAAAGATGGTATATCGCAAACATGAGGTGCAAACATTTGTACACCATATCCGGATTTCGACAATTAATGTATCTTCAGTGATGTTAGGAATCGAAACGGTATTTGGAAGGCCATATAATTCACCTCAATTTAGGATAGACTCTTGAATTTTGAAAGAGTTGAAATAGGATGAACGGATCATATAAACCCGAAGGCAAATATAATACAAGCCCAAACGAAAAAATATAAACAAGTCTAAATTGAAAACAACGTTCAAACCTATGATTGCGTTGGATAAAAACCGCAATTTTTATACGTGTGCATGCAAAACAAATTTCTTGGTAGAGGGGTCTAAATACCGCACAAACAACATTTTCCAAAAGACCAAAAAAGTGAAAAGGTATATTTTAACAAAACGCATTTGACTAGCAGGTCGAACAACTGATGTTCTTAAACCCTGCTGACTGCCATTGGCGATTGCCAAATAAACGGATCACCAGATGTAACAAAATGGATCTTATAATAATTTATTATCAAACAGAAAACAATAAACTTGCGGAAAAGATGGTATATCGCAAACATGAGGTGCAAACATTTGTACACCATATCCGGATTTCGACAATTAATGTATCTTCAGTGATGTTAGGAATCGAAACGGTATTTGGAAGGCCATATAATTCACCTCAATTTAGGATAGACTCTTGAATTTTGAAAGAGTTGAAATAGGATGAACGGATCATATAAACCCGAAGGCAAATATAATACAAGCCCAAACGAAAAAATATAAACAAGTCTAAATTGAAAACAACGTTCAAACCTATGATTGCGTTGGATAAAAACCGCAATTTTTATACGTGTGCATGCAAAACAAATTTCTTGGTAGAGGGGTCTAAATACCGCACAAACAACATTTTCCAAAAGACCAAATAAGTGAAAAAGTATATTTTAGCAAAACGCATTTGACTAGCAGGTCGAACAACTGATGTTCTTAAACCCTGCTGACTGCAATTGGCGATTGCCAAATAAACGGATCACCAGATGTAACAAAATGGATCTTATAATAATTTATCATCAAACAGAAAACAATAAACTTGCGGAAAAGATGGTATATCGCAAACATGAGGTGCAAAAATTTGTACACCATATCCGGAACTACTCTAAATATCAGCACAACTATGTTAAATCTGCAAATTTGCGGAAGCAAATTTTTGTTCTTCCAGCGCCGGGATTAGAAGTCATGCTATTGGGATATCGAGAAAACACCACCTGCACTGTGTCCAGCGCTCTAGACCACTCGGCAACCTAGACCGAACTAAGAATTCAGCTTTCGGTGGCCTAGTGCTACCTCTCCTCGTCAGTAGAGGAAAAACAACGGAACAACAGAAACACTGAACTGCTACAGAACACTAATTCACGTGTTTTAGCTATTTAATGTAGAGTAAAAAGCGCTACATGAAGAAAATGAAAACTGGAAACTCAGTAAGATATTACTGAATTAATATTTCAAAAGTATAATATACATACCAATTGCTACTTGTGCCTTTTTTCCAAGCAAATCCATATCGACTTGTTCTGCAAATGATGTGTACAAATGTAGCATATGGTACATCGAATTCCTACTTATAGTACAGTTTATTTCATTCGAGATATTTATAAGTTGACATATACGGAAGTACATTTTTTCTATCTACTGGGACAGATTTGTGAAATAATGAAAAAGTAAAATAACAAACAAAAAACGAACTCCCAGGAAAATTCAAAACGGAAAAGTCATCAAATGGCAAAATTAAAAGCTCAAACAATCAAACGAATGAAAAATAACTGTCATATTTCTGACTTGGTACAGGGATTTTCCAATGTAGAATATGGTGAATTAAACCTGGTTTTATAGCTAGCTAAACCTCTCACTTGTATGACAGCTTTTAAAATTTTATTATATTGACAATAATGTTTGAACAAACCAAACAGACATAATAGGTAAAAATCTCAAAAATAGGGGTAGTGCAGTCAACATTGTGTTATAATCTTAATCACTATAAAAACAAACAAATATGTCAACAAAGAAAAACAAAATGCCATATAGACAAAGCACATTAGCCAAAATGAAAGCCAAGAACATAGCGCAGCAACATAATGCACAAGTCAAGTACAAGTTCCGAAGAAAGTTGAATAACAAAAATAACTCCGAAAAAATTCAAAACGGAAAGTCCGTAATCACATAGCAAAATCAAAAGCTCAAACACATTTAACGAATGGATAACAAATGTCCGAACCACGCCAAAAGGATTCCACCTAAAAGAGGAATAAACAGTAAAGGCAAATAATTCATTAAAACATATAAAGGAACACTATTACACGTAATTAAAATGATAAACAACATCATTACCTAGAATATATACTACAAGATGTATTATTTGTGAGGTTGATACGGAATATTTATCAACAAGGTCTTGGTATCTTCGACTGAATCTTTTTAGAAAAAAGGACGAGACGTTCTTTGACATAGCCCTGGTTCATCAACTTTCTGCTTAGACACTGGTGACATTTAAATATGTAATAGTCAGATCGACGTCCGGTCTCTAATCGACGTCCTTTTTTCTCAAATCGACATCCAAATCTGACGTCACAATAAAATAAGATTCCAAATCGACGACCAATTGTATTCCCCTCTTATCGACGTCTTTTTGTTGTTCTCAAACCGACGTCCAATTTTTGGCTTCTCTAATCGACGTCCGTTTTATGGACTTGCCGCAATGACATCATAACTTTATTAAGTATTATTTATCGATTGTTAGTCCTTTTGTTTTGCTTTAGTTGATTCTTTGGGAAGAGATGTAACTGACTTTGTTGTTCCTTCTCATACGTCTACTAAGTCATTACGATTCGTAAGTAATTTTTAAAGACAATTAGTTTCTTAAAACAGCTTTACATAAAGACAAAACGATACAGATGATATAAATAAAGATCAGTCGAATAACAATAATGCTGCGTCAGAAAGAAATCGACCTAATAAAAAGTCTGTATCTGTTTGAAAATTGAGTTGTTAAAGGTTGCACTTTGTAAATACAGCTGTTTCTCAAACCACGCCTCTTTTGGGGAGATATATAATATTCATAGATATGTTAATTTGTTAACGTACTGGTTCCCATTTATGATCTCTGTGTTTCATCTCATAGAGACATCACTTGGGAATGTAACCAGTATAGAAAAACATGGTAGCGCCTAAATTTTAATTCTCAGGAGGTCCAAATATGGAGGTTAGGGTAGTATAGAATTTTAGTACAAGTTTAAACTCTTAGAAGTTCAGGGCATATAAATGTTGAAAATATGCCGCACAGCCCTATATTTTGACCTTTGAATAAAATAGTAGTGCATATAAACTTTCCGTTCTGGGATATTACATTTCACGAAACTTCATGGTAAAAGTGTCACAGTTTCAGCCGCAAAGGGAGTTCCTATGGGAAATTGCATTGTCTATATTTACAGAATTGCAACCTATATAGGGTTAAAAATAGAACATACAGATTTTCACAAAATCTGGTTTATCTCAGAGATTTTAAAGAATTTAACTGAAATATGAAGTTTTATAAATATTTCATGAAGATTGAGAAAATCCTGAGCCTTAACTATGATGACTCAGCATAAATTCACAGTTTACAGTATGCATGGTTTACTTTAAGCCCTGAATTCAAAATAAATTCATAATATATGCCTATTTGTAATTCAAATTGTTTAGAAGTGCTTATATTTACTCTTCGCAGTCATTGCAACTCATTGATCCTTCCTAAATATTTTTGTTGGAGTGTTTTTGTCCTGTCGATAACCCAAAAGTAAGCCGTAACACCTAAATGTGCTTTTTTGTGACCGCGGCATTAAAAAGTACAAGCTAGAATTACAAAAAGACCTCAATAAAACTTACAGTAGTGTGTTCTATCCTAAATATATACTAAATATTCCACATTGCTAGAAACAGGGAAAATATTTAGGAAATGTGAGGCCCCAGGGACAAAAAACAGAAAACAATGCCTACCCCTGGGTCATAAAACAGATAATTTAACTTGTAAATGCTATGATTTTATTATTTTCAAGGTCTTTTGTAAAAAAATCAATAACTGTGCTGGGAAGTTATGCAAAAGTAAGATGTAAGCAGTCATTTCTATCAAACTTTTAGTGAATTTATGCACCAGACTGATATCTTCTTAAAAACAACTTTTTCAAATATGGCTTTGTTTAGACACTTTTAGTTCATATATTAACTAACTTATGTTAGCTATATGGTTAGGGATGATACTGTTGAGACAAGAATTCTTAACTGACCAATTGAGACAAAAATTATGAACTTTCATTGACAAAAAGGCATTCAGTAAGATGTGGACTGGAGACACAGGCAGGATTGGATACTTTGTATAATCTTGAAAGTTGGAATGATTAACTACTAAACAATACACTTATAGTATTACGAAATGCTTTCAATTTGTTATCAGAATAGTTTCAAACATGTTTAGACAGTTCCTGTCAGAAAACATGCACATAGGGTAAGCTGGCAATAATTAAAGTCTGGTTTTCAAATTCTTTAAAAAATTGAAACAGGGGTAGGGGTATAAAATGTACTGTAAAAGGAATTTAGAGTATATGCAGTGATTTCTTTAAGGCTATAGTTCTGATAAATGAGTACTGCTGTGAGAAAAAGTGTTTTAGAGAGTTTTCTATTTGAATAAATGTTTGTATAAGAATCCTATAAAACATACCAAAATTCATCTTTTATTTGGTATTTGAATGTTCAAAAATTAATCAAAGTCTTATACATGTACATGTATACGTGCAGTAATTTATTATTTATTGATATGGGACATCGATTAGTGAAGACTACAATCGATCGGACTTTGTCTTGGCAATACATGACGTCACATTGGACGTCGATTAAAGGGTCAAACTATTGGACACTGATTTGAAAATGTGACGTCAGATTTGGACGTCGATTTGAGGAACGGACGTCGATTAGAGACCAGACGTCGATCTGAGTCTAACAAATATATTGTCTTTTGAGAGATGAACGTGAAATATATTGTCTTATGAGAGATGCACGACTTACAGGTTCTTCTGCAAAGATTGATAATAAATGATAGTGGTATACTATTGTCTGCTTCCTTAGATTTTAAATCTGTAACCCTGTACAACATATATAAAACGAAAAACAAACAACTATTTAAAGGCAAACAACAGTCTAGAAAAATAAATAGAAACTGCAGCCTGAACAATACGAACCCCAACGCAAACCATATGAAGTATAAGGTTTGGACGGATAAGCAGTTCCTGCTCCAAATCTGGAAGCCGTCGTTTTCTTCATAGAAGTTATAATCAAGTGCGGGTTAGTGAGGAACAGGATATCATCAATACACCTGATAGTCAACTTTGCTACTTCAAAAACTATATGAAGATTCCCGAAAAGTCTTGGATTAAACGGCTACATACAACATGTCCTGGTCTTGCTGTCATGAAACTTTCGAGAACGATTACCAAACTCAAACTCAAAAATCAACACACTGGATTTGGTTTTTCGAGCGCAAATTTTGTACACCGATTACTGAACAAAGTTTTATGACCCACGGTCCTAGCGTGATACAATACAATTTTACAGTCCCTTTATATACAAATGTAAGTGTATGAGTACATAACTGGTTTCACCATAGGGTGTTTTTATATATTGACGAACCTGAATATCACAAAAATCATTCTATTCTAATAAAATAATGGAAGCGAGTATTACTTAGAAAACATAAAATAATCAGAAGAATCTTCATGAACACTTGTTATCACCCCGGTTTTTTTAAGGGTTCGTGTTGCTAAGTCATGAGTTTTTCTGTTGTGTTTTGTGTACTGTTGTTTGTTTTTCGTAGTTTTTCGTTTTTTTACATAAAATTGCCAATTTGTTTTCAATTTATTGGTTATCTCTTTGGTCTCTTTCGCCTTATTTTGATCTTTACATTGTACATCAGTTACATCATATGTCAGTATAAAAAAGATTTAAGTATAAAAGTGATGCTCCTTCAACATGAAATTGGAACAAATTAAAGTTTACATATGACCACTATGACAAGTTCAACGTTCATGAAAAAGAGGTTATAAAGGTTTTGAAAAAGGACATACATATTGTATGCAATGAATTGACAAAATGCCGTCAGGTCATAATATGTGATTTCTCATCCTTGTGTAACCCTTAATGTTTACTTAAAAAGTCACTTGATTCCCATTTGAAAAAAATGTTTGAACAATGTTGATATTCAAAAGTCTGCATACAACCTGATGGAAAATCTGTAATTCGTTGAACATATATTTTCGTGGCTCATCTGTACCCGCGAAATCCACGAAAATTGGATATCCATAACAAAATAAGGAATCCACAGTATTTGAATTTAATAACAAGAGATTATTTCAAGCGAACCATTGCTCTAGTCTTTTGCACATACCAGTATGACGTCATTTGTCCTGTTACGGCTTCAAACTTTAACATCGGACATTTTAAAACTTTACAGACTTCAGAATGTAATAAAATATGACAAAAAAAACATGTTTAGGAAAAAAGTGTGAGTGTGTTGTAAATAATTAAAGAAATCGTATATTATGTTGCCATGGACGAACTTAACATCGTCTTAACCATTGAAATCCATCATAAACCAAACGATTAGCCAATGGAAATGTCGAATTATCGTCTCATGATGCTGAATAAGCCAACCAGATTAACGCAGTTTTCGTATCACTTTTTCGTATCACACTAGTACTCTCTTCATGCAAGAAATAGATAACAGGCCACAACCATAAGAAAATTATGAAAAAAAAATATGAATTGCTTTACACATGATACAGCTACTTAAACTTATAATCCTATATAATACCGATAGTTTATATATATATGCTGGTCGTGCACAAGGTCGTGGCTTTCTCTGAATTTTAATGATGTGTTTTAACTTCATCCGTTGAGGGTCAATGATACTTAGTCTGGGAGAAAATAATATGTTTTATAGTGTCAATTTTTTACGATCTGGCTTTCAGTCGGTACTATTTGTTATTATATTAGTTGTTTTTACAAACTGATTTCATGTTGTGTTCTTATGTTATGTCGTAAAAGGTATTAACAACAAAGAAGTCTTTCACAAATACACAGATACTTAATTTAAACATACCGTTGACCACTGATTCTAGTTCTTTTCCTACATCTAGAAGAAAAAGATAACATCATTACACCTCATAATGAAACTTTTTCCATTTTTCTGATGTCACTCTGTGTATTGTTTTAACTTTAGATTATTTTTTTAAGAATCCACTGACCACTGTGTTAACTTAAGATAGCTTATAATATAACTTTTAACTTTAAACTTACGATCTTGTATACTCTTAAAAAGTTTCATATGAAGGGATCGAACTTGCGCGTATTTTACAGAATATCATTACAATCTTCAGTCTATGCATGATACCATTAGACTACGAATGCTAACATAAGCCATGATTTAAAATATACTCTTAAAGGGGTTAATAATTAAAACATGCCAACAAACGGGAGTTCTGTCGCATTGATAATACGCATTCTGTAATTTATGAAATAACGGAATACAGTATGTCTTGGTTTTTCATGTTTTTTTAGTTATTATATTTAGGTCTTTCCACTTTTCTGTGGAAAGACCTATTGGTTTTCTTCTGATTATTAGGTCTTTCCACTTTTCTTTGGAAAGACCTATTGGTTTTCTTCTGATTATTAGGTCTTTCCACTTTTCCGTGGAAGACCTATTGATTTTGTTCTGATTATTATTATTTTTTTTTTTTCTTCCGCCTAATTTTTTTCTTGCGTAGTATTGTTGTTTCATAAGATGTCGCTTAGATATTTGGTATGTGATATCGAACAGTTTATACGCTTTTGAAACTGACAACCGCTTAACCGAATACTTTACGTTGTAAGAGTTATCTCCCCAAACACTGTTTTTCTTGTGGCCACTACTCCTTCGCAACCGTAAAAGATTACGACAAATTTATTTTACCAAATTGCTCGCTATATCTTCAGGATGTTGAGTTTGGTTTTCACCGAAGCGTTCCGGAGACTCCATATGAGAGTTATTTCCTCTTATGCATTTGATATAAGTGATATGCATTTCTAACTGGTAAACCATAAGTGATAGAGACCAGGGTCTTTTGATTTGAGGTCCTTGGTCCAAAAAAAAGAAAATTTGGTCAAGGTCAAAGGTCAAGGTCATATTCTGAAATTTGATTATGGCTTATTTTCACTCTGTATAAGATATCGACAACACATTATTACTAAATTGTTAGTTGCCACATGTCGTAACACATACATTTTGGTTAAAGGGTGCGCTAACATTAAATTAGAGTTTTCTCCCCTCTTGTATTTAAAAGTACACGTATGGTGATATAACTCATTAACCATTTATAACTAAGACCTAGGGTCTTTTGATTTGAGGTCCTTGGTTTATGACCTTGAAATTGAGCTCAAGGTCATATGTAAATTTGACGTTCTAGATTTTGACCTTTGCTTTTACCTCATATGTATACATGATAAAGCCATGGGACTTTTTGCATTAGGTTGCAAGCCATTTGACCTGGGAAAATCCAACCGGAAGTGACCTTGTGTAAACCGGAAGTAGCTATTTTTTGTACTTATTTAATATAAAAGTATATAGAACCATATATTTTTGGAATCAGTGTCAAGTAAACATTCAAATTATACCGGAAGTAACATTTTTCAAACTTGTCTCCCATATTTAAAAAAAAATGTATAGAAACCATATATTTTTGGAATCAGCGTACAATAAGCTATCATTTGTCGCTGGAAATGACATTTTAAACCAAATTTTAATATTTTCATATCAAAATAGATCTTTATGGGTGGAAAGACTGTTCTCTGAACAATTGGTTTTTAATTATTATTATTATTATTTTTTTCTTCTTCCGCCACTTTTTTCTGACGGTAATTTTTTGTTTCGCAAGATGTCGCTTAGATTTTTTTTGTGTATGATATCGAACAGTTATTGCGATTTTGAAACTGACCCAGTTTAGCCGAATACTTTTTATTGTAAGAGTTATCTCCCCAAACACTGTTTTTCTTGGGTACGCATCTCCTTCGCAACCGTAAAATATTATGACAAATTTATGTCTCCAATTTGTTCGTTATATCCTCAGGATCTTAAGATTAATTTTGACCTAAGCGGTCCAGAAACTCCATATGAGAGTTATTTCCCCTTCTGTATTTAAAATAGGTAAAATGTTATTGTAATTGGTAAACCATAAGTGATAGGGACCTAGGGTCTTTTGATTGGAGGTCCTTGGTCCAAAAAAAAGAAAATAGGGTCAAGGTCAAAGGTCAATGACATTTTTAAATTTGGATTTTGGCTTATTTTCACCTCTTTTCAAACACGATATAAGATATCGACAACATATTTTTACTTAATTGTTAGTTGCGACATGTCGTAACACATATATATCGGTTTAAAGGGTACGCTTATATCACATTAGAGTTTTCCCGGTCCGTGTATATTTGCGTCCATTCGTTTTTCTTTTTGAAAGATCAAAAACAAAAAACTAAAATCGAAATTGTTTTTATTTTTTGTTTTTGATTTCTTAAAAACCAAAATGAAAAACAAAAGTGTTTTCGTTTTTCATTTTTGATTTCTCGAAAACCAAAACGGAAAACGGAAGTGTTTTTGTTTTTCGTTTTTGATTTCTCTAAACAAGAAAAGAATCAACATTTGCATATGATTTCTGCATTTTGCTCTATTTAATTCTCGTTTTACGTTATACAATGTTTTCCTTTCCTCTTTGATAGCCATTGACATCCCGGTGTATTTGCTACTTAATGTAGACAGAATAGACCGCCTGACTTATGATTTGAACTAAGGTGATTAATGAATCAAAGACTTTAAAATTTCCTTGCTTTTATCTATAAAAAATATAAAATTATTTTATTTGAATATAAAATGAATCACAAATTTGAATAATACAATGAAATATTATATAGATGGTGAAAATTAAACGATTAATTACAAAATCACATTCACAAGGGAGGTTACTAATTATTTAATAGGAAAACTAGCCCTGTCATTAAAGTATGCACAGCGGTTATCCAGATCAATAGTATTTTTTAATTCGGAGATAATGTCGACGAATGGAAAAGATATTATCAATCTGAACAATAAGGATGCATGATCTTAACTTTTAAGTTTGAAAGGTTGGTTATGTAAGATTATTAGAATAGCAGGATGACTGAGGCCAATCAGCCAATATTAGACATATTACACAAACATTCAAGACGGTAATATGGATACGTTATTTAGATTATTTAAAAAAAAAGGTCCCACTCCAAGTCGTCATTTAGTAGGCCATCTTATGAGTCACTAAGAAGCAGTCCAAAAGAAGATGTCTGTCACGATACTCGGCACATTATTGTACTTCTCGCCTTACTTGATTTATATCAAAATATAAAATATGTGATAAAATTGCTACGACTTCGTAAATCACAAAACATAAGGTTGTGAGACTTATTGAGTTTGATCAGTTTCTTATTACTTTGCCTTAGTAATTGGTGGTTTATTTTGTTGGTTTCGACTTTGCGTGATTGCAATAAATATATTTTGATAATCATTCATAACCGTGAACTTGTTTAACCATTTTTTTTAAGCAGTAAAGCATCGAAACCTAATTGTTGGCAGCAGGTAAGGTCAACCACAGAAATAGCCAAAAGCACAGGCACTTGATAAACATTTGGCTTTCCTCAAATTTTTAGGGGGAAAAAAGGGGGAGGGGGTCTTTGAAAGCGACGAGGCCAATTTTCCCTGGACTTATAAATTTCATTATACGACCGCAAAATCACCCTTTTTTGCAAGGTTGTGCCTGCGGGGGTAACGAATGATGGATTTTTAATGTCCAGTGGCAAATTAAATGCATATTCAGGACGATAACATGTTTTTTTTAAATATGAATTATTAACCTGCTTTGTATTAGATCGAAACACTGAGCCTAGTTCGCGATGCTATAGTTCGCAGGAAGACATGTCATCCTACGCGGATTCATTATTTTGACTCGGAGCCGACCAGTCTCTGATTTTACTTATTAATGCCAGGTGCTTGAAGAGAAGCAGCACATACCAATTTTAAAATCTTTGGTTTGACTACATCGAAGTTCCCATACCCTCCGTAATTTCATGCACCTCTTTACATTACAGGTTGCAACACTATGCAATGTCATTGAGTTCCAAAAAACGTTTAGAAAATTATGTCAATGTTCTTTCCCATAGGATTCCCACATTAAAAGAGTTAAGGCATTGAAGGCCAAATAAATTTGCATATTTCACATTCTTGCGGGTCGAATTGTAATCAGACGGCCATTGTAGAGTTCCAAGAAGTTAATAAATTAATTTAATACAAAGGCAAACTTTAATGAAAAGTTTCATTGGTGAAATTAAGGCGGCAATACAAATAATTATTATGATAACAACAACAAACATGACTTTCGTTCGGAGTAACATGAGCAAATCCCTGTTCAATCAATCAATCAATCAATCAATCAATCAATCAATGTATCCAAGTTGTAGTTATTGCATGAATACTATCTTAATTTTTATATTTGTTTTGTTTTTTACCTTCTTATTTTCTCGATCATTTATACCGAAGTAACTATTAACCATTGTTTTACGTGGTTTCATGTGAAAGACAACTGTGTTCTTATGAACTGATTTTTACACCACACAGGTATGAATTAGGGAGTATCACTCGAATATATTGGCATGTTTGAAGTCAGGAGCCTTTAATTCTCACGGCTGTCTATCGGTATATCGAGACAAATGATCGCGAAAGAATACCTTACGGTGGTCAAGCATTGCGATCGGATCGTGAAAGATTTGGTATAGGATCGTGAATGTAATTACTTGAATTTCTACTTCAAAATCTGTGAAAAATCTGTTTTTTTAAAAAAGCGGAACAAGTCCGAAAAAAAAATAATGGCAGTCAAAATGATTCAACTTTCTCAATAATACTGTGCAATAAGATAAATAAAATATGCTGTACTTTATGTGAAAAACAAAAAAGGCGCAACACAAGTATATGGAATTCATTAAAAAAAGAACACGTTTTGTACCTATAATGACTACATTCCAATATATAATGATATATTGGCATTCCAATATATAATGATATATTGGAAACTTAACATTTGGTGT